GATGACACAACTTTGCTTGCTGAAAGTGAAGACAACTTGAAGCACTTACTTGAAGATCAAAGACTACAGCCTGCAGTAGGATTACATCTCACATAAAATAAAAATCTTCACAACTGGACCATTAAGGAACACCGTGATAAATGGAGAATAGATTGAAATTGTCAAATTACTTGGATACACTGTCAATGCCTATGAAAGCAGCAGTTAGTAAACCAAACAGTATATTACATTTGGCAAACCTGCTGCAAAAGACCTCTTTAAAGTGTTAAAAAGCACAGATATCACTTCGAGGGCTAACGTGCCTGTAACCCAAGCCACGGTTTTTTCAGTTGCCTCCTATGCATGCAAAAGCTGGACAATGGATAAGGAAGATAGAAGAATAATTGATGCTTTTTTAAATTATAGTTTATAGGAAATAATATTGAATATACCACGGACAGAAGAACAAACAAATCTGTCTTGAAAGAAGTACAACCAGAGTGCTCCTTAGAAGCCAGGATGGTAAAACTTCGTAACATGTGCTATGGACAAGCTATCAGGAGGAACTGGTCCCTGGAGAAGGACATCATGTTTGGTAAAATAGAGGATCAGCAGAAAAGAGGAAGACCCTCAGTGAGATGGATTGACACAGTGGCTGCAACAATAGGCTGAAACATAGCAATGATGGGATGGTGGTGCCGGACCAGGCAGTATTTTGTTCTGTTGTACACAGGGTCACAATGTGTTGGAACCAACTTGATGGCACCTAACAACAACAGAATTTCCAAGAGAGGTTAACTTTTAGGAGATGGGGGCCGGGGGACAGAATTGCAAGTTATTTTGGACCTGCTCAGATTATCTCTGTCTGTTCATCTCTATCTCAGTATCAGTCTTTCAGTCTTTCTGTTTTCTTAATTCTCCCCCATTTTGTTTCTTCAACCTCTACTTCCTTCCAGTTCAGCTCTAAGTCATGGTAATACAGAACCAGCCAAGTCTGACTCATGTTTGTGTGTGTGTTTTAGCTGAATCATTCCCACAGTTCTAAAATTATTGAAGGCAGTAGAATTAAACCCTCCCTTACCACTAAACCAAAGATTATAATTGAAGATTATGTTCAAATCTTTCCACCTAAAATATATGACATAAATTATATGGATTTAAGGATATTTAGCACAACTAATCTGAAGAGGGAATAATTATTCAAAATAACTTCAGTGAAAATACAGTCCTGTGTGTTTCCTCAATACGTGGTACATACAAGTCACAGAACTAATATAATCCAGATTTTTTTTTTACTATAGAGCCTTATTTAATGACAGATTATATCATATAAGGGTCCTGTGGTGGTCTTATTCGTACATCTCAAAACAGAATCCACCTATCATAGCACACCTAAGATTTCATCATGATGAAAGATTTCATTTCTCCTCTGCATCTACTGCACTTCTCTGTGCCCCTGATAGTGTTCCCTTTCATAAGAACCAAGTCATGCATACTATTCATAATTTTTAATAGAAAAGGGATAGTTGTTTTAAAAGTTTATTCACCTTCATCACCTACCTCTTGGTCGGATGAGAGTATCAATTCAAATTAAACTCGTTCCTCCCCTTCATGTGACCCATTTCCATCGTCTTGTGACTATGTATTTGAGTCCAAAACTCCATTTTATAAGAGTTAATTGCATGCATTCAGAGCTCAGAGACTCTGTGTAATTCAAGCTGACCCAAATCTGCTGCAAGTTAATAGAACACAAAGATGCACGCCAGTTCTTCCGAAGGGGGTGAAAGTCATTTTGATCTGTACCCCGATTGCTGCTTCATTGTGTCTAGTATTCCCCATAACAGGTTTTGCTAAGTGTTCCCAGAAAAATGAATATAATGCAGACCCTCTCTTTGATGCACTCCTTATTAATGGAAGTCAAACTCCTGGGCCAGTTGTAACTGAAGAATGGCAAGCGCATTTCATTCTGTGGCCCACGTCCAGCCAATGGGTAGAGATAAAACTTAAGGTTCTGGCACTATGGCAGACTAGATAAGTCCTCCACTCCAAGACCCAGCTAATGTTACATAAAATAAAACATTTAAATGCATAATGGAGCTAGCAGGAAAGTTGAGGATATTGCCAGGGTCCACAAATCTAAAGGGAGCCAGATAACTGAAACGGTAAGGGCCTGAGCCACTGCTGCAGCTGAGCTTTGGGCTTCGGTTTCAGTGCCCAGGAGGGACAGGAGGTGATGGTCTTATGCCTTTGCCTGGGAGAAACATCTGTTCATGTTAGTCTGCTATGTTTACTTCCTAGGACTGCTCCATTCTATTCAAAGGTAATTTCACCCCTGTCTCTGTTGGACACTAGTATTCTTCAAGAAGGATGAGGGAAGTTGACATGTTATACAGCCATTTAACCAACTTAGCTAATTAACTGCCACTCTGTTCACCCTATAAAATTATTGGCTGATGCCCTCACACACCCACTGCTCCAGCTGTTCTATGAAATCTGTGCCAACAAGGAGGGGTCAGTTGTGTTTATTCCCAACCCTCATTATGTTAGTTATATTTAGTTTTGCAATTTCATAATTTAACATTGTGAAAAAAGAATGTGAAAAGAGAACTGTTGTTTCAATGAAACCTAAGTTGAATGCTTTGGAAAGAATTAAATTTGTGTATTGATTAAGATGTGAGCAAAACAGCTGTAAAAGATTGGGCTAGAGATAGAATTTTAAAATCTAGAAGAGCCATCAGTCAGTCAATTTACAGAGAGACTAGAGAACACCAGTCAATCTGTAAGCTGCTTTGTCGCTTGTTAAACTAGAGCAAGAAGTGAAAACTTGCAAAGCAGTTTGAGTACAGAATCCTACAGGCACTTCTTTCCGAGACACCCAGGTCTTTCCAAAGGCTCTTCACCAGAGGCCTGTGCTGTTTCACCCTCCAGGCTGAGCTATAGTGACAGCATATGATTGCAGAGAGCGTTCGTATCTTAAATAAAACAACTACAACCTAACAGTGAAGCATCCAGGCTTTGGGAAGGGACAAACTTGGTTTGAATTTTAATTCTACAGTTTGTTAAGTCATGTAACATCTCTAATGTTCAGTTTACTCATCTGAAATTAGGAATGTTTCTCATGGAATTTTTTTAGAATTAAATGAGACAGTGTTTCTGACACACTTGGCACCATGCCATATACAAAATAAGCTCTCAAAAAATAATAGTTGTTCCCATATTTTGATTTTTCTAAAATTTTCACTTTTCACTTTGCTATCTTTTAAGACTTGTCTGGACATCTTTTGAAACCTAGCTCCATGATTCTTTATGAGTTTGTCTGCATTAGTGATATTCTGTGAATTGCCACAAATAAATTCTTTTCCATTGCACTTGAAAATAATTATTTTCAGGAATAATAACCTAAATAGAAACTATGGTTGAGGAATTTTAAAATGTCTTCTGGCTAATGAGATGCGATGATTTTTCATATGTGACCTATGACCAGGAATTGACCCAGTGAGAATAGGTAGATACAAAGTCAAATAAAATATTGACTAATTGAGCACCTGTTAAGGTAAAGCACAGGCCAAGCATTAAGGGAAACCCAAGAGAAGTCCTTGCCCTCAAGGGGCATTGATCTGCTTGAGAAAATGCCAGTAATGTCACAGAGCAAGCTCAGTTAATTGCCCATTAAATGCTCAGAGTAGACTATGGGTCTACTCTGTGGGTTTAGAAGAGCCTGTGGGTTCAGAAGAGGACACAGTTGCCTCTGAAGCCCAGAATTAAGATTTTGAACTTAACAATGGTAAACTACCATAAAGTTGGGAAAAAGGGAAGTGATGTGATCGGAAAAATAGACCCAGAGACAGTTCATTGCAGCATTCGGACAAACTGAAGACGAGAGACCCATGAGGAAGAACTGTGATGGCAGAGTTACTGTGAGGACCTGGGAAGGATCTGAGTGGGAGCAGTTTCAAAGGGTCCCACATGCCCATGGATTGAGACTAGAACAGTCATGTGTTTCACCATATCACCAAATTTAGTAGGACTTTTAAACTTGGGCCGGGCATATGATGATGGTAGTGGTGTTAGCTGCCATCGAGCCCCTGTCCCACTCATGGTGACCCTATGAACAACAGAATGAAATGCTGCCTGGTCTTGTACCACCCCTTGATCAGTTGTGGATCAAACTGCTGTGATCTCTAGAGTTGTCATGGGCCGGTTTGTAGAAGTTGATCATCAGGTCTTTCTTCCTAGGCTTGGTCTGGGAGCTCTGCTGAAAGCTGCTCGGGGTCATAGCAATATGCCAGCTTCCACTGGGAGACAGGGAGGCAGGTGGTGGCCGCATATGAGGTGCATGGAAGCACTACTGTTCCAGCAATTGTGTGCCTACCCCTGGTTGTAAAATTGGAATTGGGGGCCTCCTGATATTCATGAGACATCCTTCCAAAACCAAACCAAACTGCAAGAAAAACTTTTCTTTACCAAAGAAAAGATGTCTTAATTCTTTACGTCTTCCCTACCCATAAAGAATATTTTGCTTCCTATTAAAAGATGAGGAGCTCTGGTGGTATAGCACCTAAGGCACTTGACTGCTAACCAGAAGGGTGGTTGTTCAAACCCATCAGCCACTCCTCGGAAGAAAGGTCAGGCAATCTACTTCCATAGTGATACTGCCTCAGAAACTCAAGGAGGCATCACTGTGAGTCAGGTCCAACTTGATGGCACATAACAACAACAACAACATAAAAAGATGGGGAGCTCTGGTGGCATAGTGCCTAAGGCATTCGACTGCTAACCAGAAGACTGACGGGTCAAACCCACCAGCCACTCCTCGGAAGGAAGGTTGAGCAATCTACTTCCGTAGAGATACCACCTCGGAAATGCAAGGAGGGGTCACTATGGGTTGGAAACAACTCAATGGCAGTGAGTTTGGTTTGGTTTGGTTTTATTAAAAGATGAGAGTGACAAATTAAAAGATGATAGTAATTTAATTGTAACCTAAGAAAATTCTTTGTTTAAATGTATCTTTGTTCTTTTAGGCCTCTTTTTCGTGGAAGTTCAGATGTTGATCAACTAGGAAAAATCCTGGAGTAAGTAATAACTGATTTTACATCAGCATCCATAGCATTAAAACATTCACCATGACTTTCCTCTGATGTTTGCATAATATGTTTATCTCTTGTCTTTCTTACCCCAAGCTGCTGCTGCAGACAGTGTTACTATTTGTGTGGTGAGTGGGGACATGGTAGAAGAGTTGTTTTATGCAGAGTCCATCATGTCATGTGGCCTCACTGTTCTACCCTGAAAGCTGTATGTTGCTTGTGTGAGTCTTTTTGCTACACTGCGTTCTTTGCTTGGCTGAGCTGTACTTCTTTAGTGCAGATGCCTTGTCTATTTGTGGTCACTTCAGATACATCCACCATGAAAGGTGGCATGGTTGGTGGCCTAGTAATCCATCCCTGTCCTCATTGAGTATCCTTTGTCATCCAGGTTGATTTTTGCACTGTTTTGTTTTCCTGGGCAAAGGATGGTACATAATCTCATTTTTCTTTGGAGCACCTAAATAAGCAATGAGAATCCTAGGCTCTAGTCCTAGGTTTGTGATTAAATAACTATGCAACCTTCAGCAAGTCATTTAAAACACCTTGTAAAAGACTTACACAGTGCCTGGGACATGTTAAGTGTTTAAAGATATTAGCTATTATTATTATTATTA